TAGCTAGAATCACTTTATTATAAATTTATGGCACCTCTATCTCTGGGAGCATATTATTATGACACCACAAACTAAAAATACTTGTGACATATCCTACACTGTTGGAAATGTCTTGATAGTTATAGAGGATTCTTTAGATCATCTGACAGGGGCCGTGTCTAATTGCAATGACTGCTCCTGAGATCAGTTATTCAACAACTTCCTCTGGACTACCCCATCCTACTGCCTCTTGCTGTGTGCTTAACTAACAGAGATAGTAAGTCTTAGAAAGGTACTTCTGAAGAAATGCGAAAACAAAAGAAAGTCTCTGCTCCGTCTCTAGCTTGGCCTCCCTGCACGTTCAACCTCAGCAATACGGAACTACTGGCAGTTCTCCAAACACACCAAGTCATTTCTTGTTTCTGTGCTTTTGTACAAGCTGTTGAATCTGTCCCTTAGCGCATACGCAAAACTCTAATCCATTAAGAGGCAGCTCAGGTACAACCTCTGCTCCTTCAGCCTTCCCTGACTATAAGCAGATGGAGGCACTCCCTCCTTTCTCTGGAAATATTCATCACATCACACATGACACAACAGACAGCTCAGAACCACATCTTACAGTAGCTGGTTACTCGCTTGTCCTTCTCTTTAGTAGGCCTTTCTGAGGGGAGGGAATGCTTATCTTTTCACGGATGCTACAGATGCTCCAACAGTGTGTGGCACCATGGCACTCTCAAAACGTTTGCTGACTGTCCAGTGATTACATATGCATAAGCACATTTCTGGGAGTGGGTACTTTGACTGATACAGTGGGAGATTAATTAAAAGATCATCATTTCCTACATTTTTGAGCTCAAAATATTTCAAGGCAAAAATCACAGAAAATAAGGAGCCCTCCTTCAGGCAGGGAAATAGCATTTTTTACTAAAAACCATAGGTATTATCAATCCAGAGAGAAGTCAACAAATAGCCTGTTACTTTAAAAGGGGGGAAAGTGCTGCCTAAAACTCCACTGGTGCTATGCAAACAACCTTGTCAAATGGTAAAGACTTTAAAAATAAAAATGATTCATGACCATAATTAATGTATGACTTCAACTATTTGGCTCTTACTGCCCCAGACGCTTTCTGATCTTACCTTAGGGGCTTAAAACACACAGACATAGTCACATTTCCTCCAATCTTCACTGTTATCCAAATAGACTTTTAGAGCCCCTGCTACATCAAGACGGAGCTCATAATGTCCCCCTTTCAAATCCAACTGGAGAATAAAAAGTTTGAAGTGTTTAGGCTTTTCAAAACAATGCGCACATCCTGATCCTCTTGGGGGTGAGGAGGTAAAGGGCTGACAAGAGAAGAAACGACACTCCTCCACCACCACCACAGGAATGGCTGCTTCTTGAAAAAGAAAGAAAAGCACACAGTCTAGTCACCTGGGTGACTGGTCAATGCCAACACCAATGCTCCCCAGTTGAGGTCAAATTCAGCATCCATGTGCTAAGGAAAGATCAAGCAGCTACGTCATAGGCACCCTGGTGATCCCAGACTGGTGCCTGTTACCTCACATGATCTGAGACAGCAACAAGTGGAAACAAGTGGAAACTGGAAGACAGATAGTGATGGGAATGTAATGAAAGGTTTCATATCAAGTAAATATTTATAAATATTGAGAACAACCAGACATTAAACATTATCTCAATAAAGGAAAGTTGGAAGACAATTCTTGTCTATTTAATACTGATCATATGATGTCTGAAATGCTACATGCAAACGAAAGATGAATAATGACAAATCAGAACTTGTCTAGAAAGGCAACACAGTGCCCTGCGGCTTGCAGGGAGAAGTAAATTCAGGGACCACGAAGACAAACAGAGACAAATGGCACCTTATTGTGAAAGGCCTTGTAAACCTTGTGCAGGAGCTCAGGTGTTTATTATGAAGGCATTAGGAAACCATTACAAACTTTGAAACTGGAAAAGATTTCATTATATTCATACTTTTAAAAGTTCTGCACGGGGACTATTAGGGACTGGGAAGGGAGCCCAGGAGAACGGGCAAAGGCAGTGGACAGGGCAACAAAGGATAGATGGGAAGGTGGACATGAGCAATGCACATACATGTATGCACAGAAATGCCACAGCGAACCCTTTAGTTTGCACAATAAGTAATTATAATAATAAAGACAAGAAAGCCCTCTCTTCCCATTATAAGGTGACAAGCCTTTTCTTCCCATAATAATGGGGCACAGGGAAAAGGAGTAAGCTAGGGTGAGGTCAATGCAACCACCTAAGAACAAAGGGCATTGTCCTCAGTTAAAACAGCGACGAGAAAGATGGTGCGGAGGTGAAAAGGGAGCTAAAGGAGGAATAAAGTTTGGTGCTGAAAACAAATTACCAATTGCTATGGTTTGTACACAGTTTAATTGTGCCCCCCTAAAGGATGACATGACTGAAGGCATGGTCCTCAGGGTGATGGTACTGGGAGGTGGTAGGATGTTTAAAAGGTAGAGTCTCGTAGGATGTCACTGGGGATGTGCTCTCAGTCGACAGTTCTCATAAAACCGTGGGAATTGTCAGGAGAGGGCTGTTACAAAAGCTTTTTTGCTCATGAGTTAATCCTGATCCTTCTTCCCACAAATACTCCACCAGCTTCCATCTAACACGGGGCCTTCGCCAGAGCCTGCACTGTTTGGACTTTGAATTTGGAGAACTCTGAGTTAATGATCATTCTACCTCATCAGTAGCCAGTGTCAGGTACGGCATTAGTGGTGAAGGCTGACAAATACAGCAGCACTAAAATGAAAGAGAAAACCTCACCACAAAACCTTCTTGCATTGGAAAGGAAATTAGGGGAGAATTAGAACAACTTCATGTCAACAGATTTAATTTAGATGAAATAGTCAAACCGCCTAAAAACCACTAGTTTCTAAAACATGAGGAATAGAAAATTTGAGCAATCGCTACCTTTTAAAAATTACATTCGTGTGTGTGTGTGTGTGTGTGTGTGTGTGTGCGTGTGTGTACATGGAGGTCAGAAGACCACTTTGTGAACTTGGTTCTCTTTCCACCATATGAGTCCTAGAGCGTGAACTCAGGTCTTCAGGCTTGGCAGCAAGTACCTTAACCCACTGAGCCATTTCCCCAGGCCTAATCACTTTCTTTTAAATTAAATTTATTACTAAAAATGTTCTTGGGCTGGGGAGACAGCTAAGTGATAATACTTCACTGGTGCCTGTGAGGCCTTGGGTTCAATCCTACCAATGCAAAATAATAATAATAATAATAATAATAATAATAGTAGTAGTAATCTTTCATACAGTAGTCCAGGCTCAGATGGCTTTGTTGGTAAAAGACTGGTTGTATTAATAATCTTTCAAAGATGGGGCTGGAGAGATGGCTCAGCAGTTAAGAACACTGACTGTTCTTGCAGAGGACCCAGGTTTGAATCCCAGCACCCACATGGCAGGTAACAACTGTCCGTAACTCCAGTTCTAGAGGATCTGACAGTCTCTTCTGTTCTCTGCAGGCACTGCACAACATGGGTGCACTTACCTGCATACAGTCAATACATTCATACACATAAAATAAAAATAATAATAATAATAATAATAATAATAAAAGAATCTTTCAAAGGAAAAAATTCAATTTGTCTTATGAGGCAAGCATAACACTGAAACCAAGACACAGCAAAACTTTATAAGAAAATTATTAATATAATAATAATAATATAGTAGTAGTAGTAATAATAATAATATCCACTGCTGTGATTACACCAAAGACCAGGAAGGGGGCAATGACGTCCACTTTATTCAACACTGTACTTGAGGTCTAAATCACTGCAATAAGTCAGTTTTAAAAACGCATGAAACTGGGGCTGGAGAGATGACTCAGAGGTGAAGAGCACTGGCTACTCCTGCAGAGAACCTGGGTTCTGTACCCAGCACCCACATGGTAGCGAAAAGTTCAGAGATCCGATGCCCTCTTCTGACCTCTGTGGGCACTGCACTGCATGGGTGCACTTACATGGGTGCAGGCAATACACTCAAACACATAAAATAAAAATAAGATATTTTTAAAAGGCATGAAACTAAAAGAGGAAGTACTAGAGATGGGGGACAAGGGGAGATGAGTTACTAGAGGTGAATGTGATCAAAGCATGTTATCTGCATGTATGAGGATGTACATGATGAAACCCCTTTGTTTCATCACTTTTTAAAATGATTTTTAAATTAATTTTTAAAAAAAGAAAAATCATGAACATAACAGTAAGAATCAAGAGCATCTATTCACAGATGCTATGGTTGAGAACATTAAAAAAAAAATCAAAAGAATCTCTAATCCAATTTGTAGAAGTAAGTCTAAGATTCCAGAATAATATACCACCAATATATATCAACAAACAATCAACAAACAACTAAGGATGAATGTAAAGAAGGGTGTTAGGAGTTGAACTGGGAGCCATATAATATGCTGAGAGAGAGCAAAGAGCAATCAACAAATGAGACAGCGGCCATTCACAGAGGAAAGACTGTTGGCCGACTATTTCCCTAAACTGATCTATGGCATTCAGAGCAATCCCAATGAAAACGACAACAGGACTTTCCTGTGGAAACTGAGAAACTGATTCTAAAATTGATACAGAAACACAAAAGACCTACAATAGTCATGAAAATGCTGAAGGTCACAGTTGCAGTCCTATGGTACCAGATCTTATAAATCTGTAGTAAGTAAGGCAGTGACATTGACATGATCCTGAACAAATGCACAATGAAGTATGATTCAGATTACAGAAATAGACCTATTATTACACAACCTATCTTTCCTCTGAACAGAGAAGTCCTGTTAATAAATAGCACTGAAAAAACTTAATATTCATATAGAAATAAATGACATTTAATTTCAATCTTATACCTAAGAATTAATTTGTGATGGATCATAAATCTAAATGTAAAAATTAAAACTCTAAAGTTCCTAGAGAAACATATAGAAAAATATATTCATGACACTGGGCAAAGATTTATTTTCTTATATGGAACGCTTCACGAATGTGCACGTCATCCTTGCACAGAGGCCGTGCTAATCTTCTTCGTATCGTTCCAATTTTAGTATATGTGCTGTCAAACTAAGCACTAAAGATTTCTGAAATAGGGTTTATCAAAACGTGTTCTTGAGAAGATAAAAATATCAAGGAAGAGACTGAGCAAAACATTGTTTATGGAATACATACAAGTGTCTGTGCATGTATGTGTATGTATATACACACATATGTATCTATCTGATACAAGACCTGCATCCAGAATGTACAAACAACTCCTACAAATAAACAACAAAATGTAATCATTTCAATAAGTAAGAATGGGTAAAATATTTGCACAAACTCTTCAAAAAAGAAGACATAAGCATGGTTGATAAGCATGTGAAATGTGTTGAACATCTTTAGTTATAGAATTAAAAAGAAAAAATATATCACTCAAGCCTATTATAATGACCAGAATATATAAGAACAACAACCAAGCAGGAAGTAGAGTTGCTGGCCAGGCTGCTGACGCTTCGAAAGGCCTCCCTGTGGCCCAGCACTAAAGCCTTGGAGGTCAAGTTCTAACATGTGAGCCCTTGGGGGACACTTAAACACATCAAACTACACAAGCGGTCTACTTAACTTTAGGCTTTCTAAAAATGTTTACATGCAAGCACAACGTTGAGTATATTCTCCCTCTTCTCCTTCCCCCATTAGTCCACTAGAAAGTTTAACTTCTGCTTTCATATTACATATACACACATGATTTTATGTACCAATATAAAATTTAGGAAACTACAAATGAAGAAAACATACAATCTTTGAGTCTTTCTGGGACTGGCTTAGATAGGGTCAACATGATTATCTTCAGTTGTATCCATTTTTCTGTATTCTTTATGACTGAAGAGAATTCCACGGTGTGTGTGTGTATGTATATATATATATATATATATATAATCACATTTTCTTTATCCACTCTTCTATGCTGGGTCCATAACTTAGCTATAGTGAACAGTGCTGCAATCAACATTAATGTATAAGCATCTGTGTGATATACTGATGTGGAATCCTTTGGGAAAATACCCAGGAGTGGTGCAGCTTGGTCAGATGGAGGACATATGTTTAATTTTTAAAAGAAATTTCCAGGTTGACTTCCATAGTGGCTGGACTAGGTTACACTCCTGCCAATAATGTAGCATTTGGTGTTGTTTTCTTAATGACTGCCATTCTGACTGGGGTGAGGTGGACTCTCAATGTAGTTCTGATTTGCATGTCTCCGAAGGTTTGTGAAGTTGAACATTTTCATGTTTATTGGCTACTTGTATTTCATCTTTTGAGAACTGTCTGCTCATTTTATTAGCCCATTTATTGATGGAGCTACTTGATTTCTTGTTAGTTTTCTGAGTTCTTTGTATACTCTAGATATTAGTTTCTCTGTCAGCTGTTCAGCCAGCAAAGATTTTTTTTCCATTCTGTAGGCTGTCCATTCACTCAATTAATTGTTTCCTTTGTTTTGAATTTCACGAGGTCCCATTTGTCAATTGTTGGAATTAGTTCCCAAGCAACTAAAATCCTAGTCATAAAGTTTTGCCTGTATCTATTATCTTCAGGGGTTTCCCTACTTTTTCTCTAACAGTTGTAGAGTTTCAGGTCTTGCATTAGGGTCTCTGATCCAATAGGAGTTGAGTTTGTGCAGGGTGAGAGATGATGTAGTCTCATTCATCTACATGTAGACACCCACTTTTCATAGCACCATCTGTTGAAGAGACTGTCTTTTCTGCAATGTATATTTTTAGCATCTCTGTCAAAATTCAGATGGCCATAGCCTTGAAGGTTTCTATCTGGGTCTTCTATGCTAGTACACTGATCTATGTGTCTGATTTTGTGCCAGTATGGTGCCATTTTTGTTGTTACGGCTGCGGTATAACTTGAAACCAAGCATGGCAGCACCTCCAACAGCATTCTTTTTGCTCAGCACTGCTTTGACTATCCAGGGTCTTTTGTGCCTCCATGTGAAATTTTGTTAACAGCCTCAAAGTTGAGGCAACGCTAATGATCACCAGCAGGAAATGGATAAGCAAATTACAGTATACTCATAGAAGGAAATAACACTCAGCAAGGAAAAAAGCAGAAATGACAGGGCCACACAGCAACATGGAACAATTGCACAGACCAAAAGAATGTACTGTAGGATTTCATTTATAAGACGTTCAAGAACAGTACAATCCCAGCACTCAGGAGAGACAGGTAGGAGGATCAGGAATTCAAGAACAGTCTGAGCTACATGAAACACTGTCCCAATCCCCTCCCCCAACAAAAAGTTCAAGAACAGGAAAAGCTAGTAAATGATGAAGCAATAAGATGTGCTTAACTAAGCCAGGAATGGGGATGGTCGTGTCAGAGTGGCAAAGGAGAATGAGGAAACTTTCTGGATAACAAAGGAGTCTTATACTTTGATTTGAATGATGATGACAGGGAAGCACATGTTTATCACATCAAACTAGGAACCAAGAAAATGGTGATGCCATCTTGTGAGATGAGGAACGTGAGAGGAGCCATTGGAAAAGCTGTACTTCGAGACTGAGGAGTCTGTGCCACGTTGGCCAGCAGTGTGGAATATTTGTTGAGTATAGAGATCTGGTGTTTGGGAGATAGCTCTTGGTAGGGGATGAAAATGTGGCAATCATTAGCACACAGATGCTAATAATGTCAGGAAACATTACAACATTTCATAACGTTACTAACATGAGGAGAGTGAATGAGATCACCCTGTGAGAGAATGAGAGAGAACAGAGCCTAGAGCAGAATTCAGGGAACATCAATATCTGAGGGATTAGAAAAGAAGGAAAAAAACCTGCCAAAACCAAAAAACAAACAAAGAATTCCAAACCAGAATATGCAGAGACACAGGACAGCTGCAAGAGCTGATGTTAGAGTTGAGGTAACAGAATGTCTGTGGAAAGCAATGGCCACTGTCTCAGAATCAAGTAACCTGAGGTCTGGGCAGTATCAGCATAGTTAGCACAAGGACTTGATTTAAAAAGCCATTTCAAATCTGCTCCCCTCTAACCCCAGCCACCGCCATCATCTTCACCTGGCCACCAGCCTCCTCTCTGGCCTCCCATTGTCAGCTCTCACTTTGCTGCTCCCATAATACCACAGTACCCTCCACTCTTCATTTGCTCAGTTACTCACTGGAGTTCATCTGCCAAACAGCCTCTAAATTCACTAATTGGCATCAGCTATGTCACTGCAGGCACACAGTCTGTCACATCCCTCGTTGGTAAACACAGAACTAAAGGTGTTCTCACCAGCAACTGCCTAGCACCCCAGGATTCTACCCATCACACTATTCCAGGTTTTTCTTCTCATAGGCTAAAAGAGATTTTAAAAGTACTCACACTTAGACTTCCATTATAGAGGCAGACTATACTTATGTGATATTCACAAAAATAAAAAAGACCAAAAAAAGTTAAAGGCTGACACCCCCCCTCCAAATCAACGGGCATTATTAACATGACTAGACATGTGTATACAGTAGTCTAGAGATACCACAATAATGATTTTTTTTGGTCATTCATTAACTTTGTCTTTAAAAACAAATTTGTGACTATCACATAAGTCAAGTCTCTGCATTCTTTCCATTCCTCCTAGTCCCCCTCCAATTCTTCCCAGGAACCCCCCCCCAACTCCTTCTCAATTTCTTGACCTCTTTAATTATTATTGTTACATATACAGACATACATCTATATACATCTATATACACACATATATACATATATGTGAATGTATATCTAATGCACTGAATTCATTTAGTGGTGCTGTTATGTGCCTGTGTTTAGGGCTGCCCATTTGAAATTACATAATCTGTCAGGGAGCTAATCCATTGATTTATAAAAAAGAAGAAAAGATTTATCTGGTAACCAGAAAGGCTATGATATGTAAAATTTTCCACAATAAATGAAAATTTCAGTATATATTTTTATAATTCTAAATCTTCCATGACAGTCAGAAACCACAGCCATGAAGAACTGACAGATACCATGTAGCCCCAGAACTTGCCTCCTCCTCCGTTTTCATATCCCATTGCTAAGCACGTTCCCTCGACCCGTTTCCCCTCCCCTCTCCTCTTACATCACCCTCTTCACTGCTCTTGCCCTGAACACCTGTCTAGCATTAATAAAAGGCTTTTCTCTTTCCAAACTCTGCCTTCCTCAGTTCATTTGGAACACCACCATCAGAAAGTTCAAAATATGCATTTCCAGCGTCCTACAGAATGTCACAACACAGAAATGAGGCTCAAGAGATGTTTCAGGTGTTGGTGTAATCAATCACCATGGGGACAACAGGCAAGAAGCACTCTTTACAGAAAAACAGGGCCTGTACTATAACTAAGTGATCACAAATCGTAAAAACCTAGGATTAGATATTACTTGTTCCTCAAAAATAACCCAGATCTATCTATTTAAAGAGCTAAAAGTTATGTTTGGTGGTGGTACACACTTCAATCCCAGCACTCAGGAGGCTGATGCAGGAGGATCACAAGTTCAAGGCCAGTCTGAGCTACATAGTAAGGGTCTGAGTAAAAACCAAATATTAGCCAGGCATGGTGGCACACACCTTTAATCCCAGCACTCGGAAGGCAGAGGCAGGTGGATCTCTGTGAGTTCGAGGCCAGCATGGTCTACATAATGAGTTCCAGGACAGCTGGGGCTGCAGGGAGACCCTGTCTCAAAAAGACCAAAAGAAAAAAAAAAAAAAAACCCAAAAACCAAATATTGTGTCTGGCACATAATATACATTCATTGACTTAATCACGATGAATGAATACACACTTATTTAGGGAATGGTATGTGTTAGGCAGTGGGCTAAAACCATGAAACATATACAGTAGCTGGTGAGGGTACATCACTGCCAATCCATGGGTGAGAGAGCTAAAGCCAGTAAGGGGCAGAATCAGAATTCAGAGCCATTGTCCTAACTTGCAAAGCCCTGGTCTTCATTGCCACATTCTCCAACCATCAATCCATCAGTCCCATGTGAATCCTGCCATCTTTCCTCCCACAAAACCATCAGTATCAGTACCACATTATGTATTAAATACATTTTTAGT